CATATTACATAAACGACCCCTCATTTTGAGAACAAAAGAATATCGGACGGCCGCTTCTACAGTACTGGAATACGGAATATGGGAATGCATTCAAAGTTCACCTACATTTTACAGTGATGGTTCGTGTACTAATACAAAAAAAGCTCATGGACGAAGTTTACAACATTATCTTTTACTAGTATATCTTTGTAATCGAGGTTAATAAAGATGAGTTTTGAGTGTATATATAATAATACTAATCTGTTGGTGCTTTTTTTATCTTTTAGAGAAAATAATGTATATGTATATAACAAGTGTTTTTTTGTTGTCTTTTGTCCACTCGTTTTTATCTTTAAAAGGTCAATGAAATTATTGTGACAGTCCTTTATGCAAGCTTCTGAGCATGAAGTTGACAATTGAAGCTACTTATTAATAACATACATACATGATGATATTGAGTCAAATAATAAAATAATTTTCATAAAATATTTTAATTTCTATATACATTTAGTATCTGTACTTGATAATCCTGGTGATCTATATGCTTGGCTAGAGAGTAACAACCCAGATGATGAAGATCCATTAATTGATCTCTTAGCTTCCTTAATTATGGATACTGTAGCGGAGATTCAACAGAAAATAATGAAATATTATCCCCATGGAAGCAGTAAGCAACAAATTTTAGCTCTTACCTTTTTTTCTCCTTCTTGAGACCTTTAATTTTAGATTCAACAGACAATTGTGGAACGTTATAAGCCCAATTGCACAAATGGTAATTGCCTAAATATAGTAAGTGTTTATCCTGCGATTCGAATACAGGACCCTAGGTATAACTAACCTAGTGACTAAAAAACTTATCATCCAGCCACAAGAAGAGACGTTATATGATGTTTTTGTTATAACAGGATTATATTTTATCTTTTTTATCTTTTATTTTTTTTTAAATGTAAAACAAAATAATAGAAAGAAAAACAAGGATAAATTCTTAACGATCAATGAAAATGACAAGCCTTAAATTTTCAATATAATATTTAGTCAATGTAGAACTATACTTTTCATATACTAATCAAAGATTCCAACTCTTAGAAGATGATGGTCAGTTTGTTGTCTTTTGTCCACTCATTTCTATCTTTGAAAAGTCTATGAAATGATTACGCATAATTCACAAATCTATTTTATATGTACAAATCTATTTTTAAAAAGTGACATGTTACCATTCTGTATGTTACAAGTATCCATTATATTGTTAATTTTTTATCTGAATAATATTTTTATAGATTCTAATGACAAGTATATATAATGCAAACAAAATGGATATGTACTACTAAAAATATGACCCAAGGTGAAAATACAAAAATCCTCAATAGATTTTCATAAGATTGAGTGGAGGAATCAGTGTTTGGGTGGTGTGAAAATGAGGGAAAGTGGAGGAAATGGAGGAGAAAACCCAATTGTGAGAAAATATTTTTTATTAATGTTGGACTAATTGTTTACAAAAAACAGGTGAAGTCCTCTTTTACATACAGTCATACACACCCCACTTATTTTTTATAAGCATCCTACCTTTTTGGGCAAATAGAACTTTTACCAAACTACTTGATTTTGGACTCTTTTTTTTTTTTTTTTTGTGTAATCTCTTTCCTGTACATGGTTTGGGCCTCCACTCCTTTAATTGGCCCATTTCTATAAAGTAGAAATTAAAAACATAAAGCCCAATAAAAAACAAATTTGGTTCCTACAAAAGGACATGGCTGATAACGGTGAATACTATCAGTACAACTTGGTGCAATTTGTTGGTGCGAGTTGTATTACAAACAAATAACGTGAAGATGGTAATAAGACAAACACTCTAAGTGGTAATATGTTGTCTTATGTGATTTAATGTCTAAATATATAGTTAATACACTACATAAAAACCACATACTTAGAATAAAAATTTTAGATTTTACTTAAGAAGCGTTGTAGAAGAATTAGATTATAAGTACAAATTGTATGGCTCATAAAAACATATATATTATATATATATATATATATATATAGAATATCTAGATATATATATATATATATAGGACAAATGGAACACCCTACAGGCCAATTGCCAGTCGAGCCCGTAATTGAGATATCCTGACATAATTGCATAACACCTTACAAGCCCAATTGCACAAGTGGCAATTGTCTAAATGTGGTAAGTGTTTTTCTTGTGACTCGAACACAAGATCCCTAAGTATAACTAACCTTGGTAACTAAAAGGCTTGTCATTCGACTATAAAAAGAGAGGTTATATGATGCTTTTGTTATAACCTGATTTATCTTTTTTTTTTTTTAAATTATAAAACAAAATAATAGAAAGAAAATAAAAAAAACCAAGAATAAATTTCTTAACAATTCCAATGAAAATAACAGGCCTTGAATTTTCAATGTAATATTTAGTCAATGTAGAACTATTACTTTTCGTATACTAATCAAAGATTCCAACTCTTAGAAGATTAATGATCAGTTTGTTATCTTTTGTCTACTCATTTCTATCTTTGAAAAGTCTGTGAAATTATGATGACAAAACTCATTTTCATTACGTACAAATCACGATGAATTGAAAAGTAATTTGTGTTAGTATCAAATGTTGTGCTAATTCTTCCACATAGAAAAATTGCATAGGAGAGGAAACTGGCTTAAAGTTGAGAGGGACATAATCATTTTCGTTACTCTAGATTAGTTAAAGAAGAGTCTATCAAATACTAAATGAAAATTTCAACTCGACTTCCCTAGCTAAATAATTAGAATACTATGCTGGTTTTTAATTCTATCAGTCGCTAATTATTTGACAGAGCACATGTATATAAGTAGTGTAGTTGATTATCAAATTATTATACTACCATCTGGTATATCCATGTTTTAATTAGCTCGATGTTTCATTTCTTAAATATGCTAGAAATAAATTGAATAATGTTCTAAACTGAGTAAGTACACAACAAAGAGAATGACCATAAATTAAAGTTTTGATTCTATTACAAGCTGCAGCAATTTCACTTGTTTGTCTTCAGTAAAATTACTAGCTTTCCTTCAAAATTTTCTATCACATTATAATTTGATCAGATTTTCCGAAATTTTAATGGAATTAATACTTGCATACTGGAAAACAAATCTGTCTATTTGACAAATTGAAAGATGTGATATTCATTTTAATTAATGAATCAAAATACAATTTTGAAAACTGAATTACAAATTTGAGGAAATGAAAATCACAATTAATACAAATATAAGATAACCCCTTTGCTTTTTCATGTTATGAAATGATTTGTGTATTCTGGTGTGCAAGCTGTAGTAGAAAATTCTTACTGCGTGGCTTTAGGGAGGAAAGGATGCTACGGAGTCAGTAGCCACCAAGCAGAGAAGAGATCAATCTCCTCTGGTTTCCTCTGTTTCCAGTTAATATTCAAGTGTTTGGGAATTTTGAACTCAACGGCTACATTAACAGAGGTTGCTAGATTCTGTTAAATGGTGTTAGCTCTTGTTAGAGGAACAATGCTGTTTCACTATACAATTGGACCCCACAACCTCAACAACTTCAGATCGAAGCTGTTGGGGTTTCAACTGAAATTTCATAAAATCTGGAAAAAATGATCAACAATGGAAAAGCTGTCATTTTGTGTTTCCTTGAATTAATTTTGTTTCTTTGCAAAATCTGTAAGTGTCACACGGATGGCCAACGTGGACTCATTTTAGTATGAAAGCAGTTCAAGAATTCTTTGTAAGCTGAGCTGAAACTAATAAAATTCAGTTCTCGAAAATTCGATCTTCTCTCAGGATTTTTCTGTTTGTTTCTTGGGAAAGTGTTATTATAGCTTTTTGGTTTCTGTCTTATCTGATCCTAGGACTTTGACATTTCAACATAAATAACAATGTCAAGACCCTCAACCCAAAACCAATCAAAGATGACAAATTTTTTTCTAGATCAGAGAATTCTTTATGGTTTGTCAGATGGCCAAAGTAAGCTTCTATCAACTAAAAATATATTTAAGATTATAGTGGAATAATAGTGTAATGATGCAAAATATAAGATATTAGTGTCATACTTAATAAAAGGTTACAAAAACCGATAACATAACATGAAATGATAGACTAGTAACACAAAATGTTCATCGATAATCCAACATTTAATGTAAAGAATTTATGTTTTAATGCGTTAGTAATCTCATATTCTATGTTATTAATTTCCATATTAATTAATATTTGTATATGCTCTTTTAAAAACTCAAAAAAAAAAAAAATTAATAAAAAATAAAATAAAAAAGCTCGAGCTTAGAGGTATGGGCCAATTCAATTTGAACTAGGCCCTCTTAGCCCTTAATACTCATATAAAATCGATCCAACAAAAGAACAGAATAGTTACAAGAACCCGAAAAAAGTTGGGATCTCACTTGCTAATCGGGTAATTAATTTGTTAACTATAACTACATATTTTGATGATTTTTCAACATGCTTTCTGATTAATTTCAATAAAAATCATATTTTGATGGTTCAAGAGATATTGGTTCTAATAAAAGAAGAATGCTTATAAAACATTTTGAAGGTTACCTATGCTTAAATATATGAATTATTCATTGTAAACAATTGACAAACAACAATTGCTTTTGTCAATTGTTTACAATACACATTGAGAAAGAGGAAAAATATGACATTAAAACCAATATGCACAGGGCAAATTGACACTAGCTTATATTTACTTCTAAATAAAGTAGTCTTGTCTTAAGAAAACTGCATTTGCTCAACTAAAGGTTGATTTTAAACCTCATAAGACAAACCAAACCCAATATATCAAAAATTAAGCTTCTAGTAAGCATATTAGTAAAGTTACAAACCTGACCCAAAATAATTTCAACATGAATACTTTAATTAAGTACATTTATTCCAAGTAAATATTTGTTTATCAACGTGCTGAAATTAATTTCAGAAGATCATAGTAAAAAATTGAACTTTCAATAAGCATATTAAGTAAAGTTACAAACTTGCTTGCAACCCAGAACAATTATAACAACAGCAGATTCCTTCTAAGTGAACAGCATTCCTACACTAATTTTGAGCTGAAACCTCATAAAACCACCATAAAAAAACCAAACTTTCAACAAGCAAATTAACAAAGACTCAAACTTGGCAACAATTCAAATCTCAAAATTCCAAAATGGAAAGAAATACAAACACTTACAGCTCAATTCTTTCACTGTTCTTCCTCAACAACTTCAGATTATCATGCTCGATATGCTTAATAAATAAAATAGTAGGAATAGAGAAAATAGCATCTTTGAATATCCATGGAATTTGATAGCTGTGTGTATTCCCTGCTTCAAAAAGTAACAAAAATCCAACTGAGGCAATTTATCGAACACTTGGTGCACAGAAGCTAAGTAAGGATCTCAAACTTGAAACAATTATGTCCTGAACCCAACATTACAAACAATTGACAATATAGAAGAAGAAGAATGATAAAGAAAGTTTCACACAACCAAGTATACAAGTCTCACCGAATCTCAAGCCAATTCAATTTTGCTTTTATTAGTTAAATATATTTTAATAAATAAAGTTTAATTGGTCAAGTGGTCCCATTTGTTTTTAATTACAAACTCCCCCATTATGTTTCTAATGTATTTAGAACCCCCCTAGAAAATCATTTCCCCTGAACTGAACACGCCCTTTCAAAAAGTCAACAAAGTCAAAGAAAAAAGGGCATTTAGGTAATTTGTCCGTGTAAGTCTAATTGGTCAAAGTGTTTTTGGTAATTAATCAACTAACTAACGGTTTTAAGGTAATTAAGTAACTAAAGTGTATATATATATATATATATTTTTTTTTTTTTTTTGCTTCTTCTTCTTCTGTTTGCCCTTCTACTTCATCTTCTCCTTCTTCGTCTCTCTCTCTCTCTCTCTCTCCCCTCTTTCTTTTGTTTTTTTCTTCTCTTAATTCACTGCCCTCTCTCTTTTATTTCTCTCTCTTTACCAATTAAAGAAAACACGGCAGCCATGACCAGATTTGAGCAAGGACAAGCATGGATCGCCGCCGGCGAACGGCAGCCCGTCACGACTTGACCCCAGCTCAAGCATTCAACCCGTAACTATGCCTCTCTTCTAAGCCGCCACAGTCGAGCCCTTATGATTTTTATTTGAAAAAAATTTGATGACTTTGTTAGATTTATTTGTTGATTTTATTCCATGTGAAATTTAAATGGGTGTTGGTTAAACAAGGAGATCAAAGATAGAAAGTTGATTTTTCTTTCTGCCAGGACATCTAGAAGAGTGGATTTTCCAGATCCACGAACACCCATTAATGCTATTAGAACACCAGACCTTAATGCACCCATAACATCAACAAAGGGAAGCAAAGGAAAGTTAAAGACAAAAAAATGCATAAATGAGTGTGTGAGATCTTATGCAAGCTCTAAGTAGTTGCCACTTAGAAACGCACTAATAGATCCTGATCAAGCTTCTTGCCGAGAGGAGATTCCTTGAATTTTTGACAGAACATATCTACTGAAACATAATGGTAAGGATCTTCAGTGTGGTAACAGTATTGTGCTTGATCTTTTCTAGATATTACTTGCCAGAAAAAAAGAATTAAGATAAAAGCTGAACAGCAAACATTTGAGCACGGAAAAGAAATGATTGTAAGCTATAATGTACTTAACTCCTAAAGAAAGTCAGCTACACCTTTACTATGAGGACACTTGAATCCATAGTCCTCAAAAAATTCTACAACTTGATCGCGTGGTCCTTGAAACCTTCCCTTCCTCCATTATAATGATGTCATCAAAAGAGTTCAAAGGTTTCTGGAGGTGGCTGAAGAAGTGAAATCAATATGGTAGCATCTGTGATATGCACCAGCTGCTGCAGACAAGCTACAATCTGATATGTTGTTGAACTGTCTAAACCATTTGATATTTCATCCATAAATAGGGCTTTATAGGACCAACAACCATTTCCCTTGCCCAACTTAATGTAAAATTGATCTTCTAACGTTATCATCAAATGCATCTAATCAGTTATTTCATAAACATTACTACCAATTAAGTGATGACATGGAGCCAATGCATCGTCCAAAAACCTAAAACTTTCAACCTTTCTACAAAAAATTACCTGTAGTCAGCCTCCTTTTTTGACTTCCCGAGATGCCTCTTCTCATCTCATCTCCCACTATTGTGTCAGCACAGATATCGAGTCCAAGGACCTAAGAAGCCACAAAGACAGTTAACATATAAACTTATAGCATTGCACGGATGCAAATCAACCAAATAAAGTATGGTTACATCTTCAACAAAGAGAAATACCTTTAAAACATGATCTGTTTTAAGGGTAGTTTTTCATCCTTTGGCAGAAATTGCCTAATAAAACAACCATTGTCGTGAACATTTGATATTTGTACCAAAAGCAAATAGAACAAAACATGAGATTGAAAGTAGACAAATACCTTCATGCAAGTATCTATGTTTAGATCTGAAACAATTCGTACGTTCTTCTCTCTTTACTGACCTCCATCATTATATTTGCATAATACAACTGTATGGTACAACAGTAAGGCACAATCAAATACTACAGTATTGAAAAACCTATCAAAAACATGCACTTGTGATGCCTCGAGCTTTTCTTTTATGATCCTATCATGCTTCTGCAGGTTAGAGCTTTAGTTATAGATTCATGCATATGTCTGATACTCAAGATAGTAACATTCCAAATGTATTTAAAATCATGGTGAGTTACAAAGAAATTCTGAAACCTTTAGAGATTTGTCAAGATTTCCTGAGAGAGTCTTTAAAATCATGGTGAGTCATCCTGCAATAATTCAAGCACACTTAAACACACATTTGGTTTCATATCCCCATAAGCCTTTTAAATTTTCCTCCATAAAAATTCTACCAGAAAATAGGTTTTCTTCACCACTTTCTGAAGTCAATCAAAATTTAGTCTGCTCTCTGATAGAGCATCTCAAATTAAAACCTTTCCTAGTTATCTATCAACAAACATCAAGTGCAACAAAAATCGACAAGCCATGCATACAATTGGGTGAACAGAATCTACCACATAATTTGCTTCACAAAAAAAATTGCTAAGCAACTTAAGCATCTATGTTCTAAGGTGTTTTCATTAAATTCTGTTTAGATTCCACCATTAGATATGGAACACCTCGTTAAAGCATGGCACATGCCAAATAAACAGGGAGATAGAATTACTAGAAAGATGTAAATGTTTAAACCTCATTATATTACAATGTGATCCACACTTACTGGTTCTGATAAAAGAAAATTGCTTATAAAAGATTTTGAAGGTTACTATATGAATTATTCATTAGATAAGAAATTAAGTTTTTACAAATAAGTTTACAAGCAAAAGGTCTTCAGAAGTGAAGAAGCACCAGATAGAATTAGAAAGATCAATGCATCCATTATTAGTCAAAGTAGCATCAAGTTAGAACAAACACAAGAGCTCCAAAAAGTCAATTAAGCCATATACATACTGGCAAATCCATATGGTTGACCCAAAAGGGATTGTGTCAATTCATAAATGAGTTAATTTGACTAACAATAAATCTTTAATATTACCTTCCAGGCTTAACAATGCTATTGATATTATTAATGATGGTTATCTTAGCTTGATTTGACTTTGAACCTTAAGTTTTGAGAGAACCTGTAAAACAAGGTTCAACTTCAACTAACCAATAAAAGCATTCAAAGCTGCAAGTAAGCTACATCTTAAAGAAATTTTAACAATGAAAGATTTAGTAAAGGACTAATCAATGCTCTTTATTATAAATTTTACACATTATTTATAGTCAGATAAGCACTTATGGATTCAATTTGTGCTCACACAAAATGAAGATACTTACCAAAAGCCAAAGTTTAAGAGAATCCCATAGAGTTGGGAGCGGTTTTCCATGAACAATCTCACAATTGGCTTCCACATTGAAATTCTTATATCTCACCTCTATAATTGGCAATGCCACACCAACTCTACAAAATTAAAACAAGACAAGCCTTTAATTGTAAACAATTGATAGACAATACTACATACAGTACACACTGAGAAAAAGGAAAAATATGACATTAACAATCTTAGCATTCAAATAAAGTAAAACCAATGCACAGGCAAATTGACACTAGCTTATAAGTACTTCCGAATTAAGTAGCCTTATGTTAAGATAACTACATTTGCTCAACTAAAGGCTGAGTTTAAACCTCATAAGGCAAACCAAACTCAATATATCAAAAATTGAGCTTCCAATAAGCATATTACTAAAGTTACAAACTTGCAGCCCAAAATAATTTCAACATGAATACTTCAATTAGCTTATAAATACTTCATTTAAGTAGATTTCTTCCAAGTAAAAAGTTCATCTACTTAAAAGCATGTTGAAATTAGTTTTTAAGAAGATCACAGTAAAAAATTGAATTTTTAATAGCATATTAAGTAAAGTTACAAACCTGCTTGCAACCCAAAACAATTAAAACAAAAGTACTTCAATTAAGTAGATTCCTTCAAAGTGGACCACATTCCTAAACTAATGTTGAGTTGAAACCTCATAGAACCACCATTAAAAAACCAAACTTTCAACAAGCACATTACCAAAGACTCAAACTTGGCAATAACCTAGATGATAGAATCCAAAATGTGAAGAAATTCAAACACTTACAGCTCAATTCTTTCTCTAATCTTCCCCAACAACTTCAGATTATCATGCTCAATATGCTTAATAAGCTTCTCTATAAAAGCACGCCTCTCAACTGGACCAAGCTTCGTGACATCAACCACCCTCTTCCCCTCTCCATCCACAACCTTCTCTTCTCCTTCCTTATTGAATAGAGAAGCCTTGAGCCAGTCAAAAGTCGGCAGCCTCTCAATGGCAGCCCATTGCTGAACAATTTCAACATCAGAAACGAGCGCCTCATCATCATCCTTCCCGATGTCTCTTTGACTCGAAGATGTCTTACATCTCAAAGAGAACTTTAAGCTTCTTCCGAGCTCTGTTAGACTAATTCTTGTTTGTTCTGACAAACTGTGCCATTTTTTAGGTGTTGGTTCATAGTTGTGAAGCTATGAAAGGTTGGTGGTTTGGAACTTTATCCACTGGTTTCTTTCCATTATCTGTTTCCTTGCATAAATGAGAATGCAGAAAGAAAAAAACAAGAATTAGCAAGAGGGTATGATTTGACATCTAAAATCACAGCTCTAAAGAAAAATGAGTTAAAAACAAAATTGTACATCATATGATTGAGAAAAGTATCTCAGGAATGAAACCAATTAGACCTACTAAATGAATATGGATCAATAGTTGTGATCGAGTCCAGCAGGTTTACAGATTACATCCACCATGTAGTGTGCGATATTTTCCAATTTTTGCTTCTTAATAGCAACCTGTAGAAAGATATATCCCATTTACAGGAAGATTTGTACAAAAAGCTTATTTCCCAAGTCATAGTGGAGGAGAAGCAGAGATAAATAGAAATAGAATAGTAGGGATAGATAAAAATATCAAAATTAACATTTTTGAATATCCATGGAAATTGATACCTGTGTGTATTCCTTGCTTCAAAATGTAACAAAAAAACCAACTGAGGCAATTTATCGAACACTTGGTGCACAAAAGCTAAAGCTTGAAACAATTGTGTCTTCAACTTAGCATTACAAACAGTTGACAATATAGAAGAAGAAGAATGAAGAAGAAAGTTTCACACAACCCAGCATACAAGTTTCACCCAATCTCAAGCCAATTTCAATTTTAATTTTGCCGATCATTGAAAACAAATTCAACTTGGCAATTTCATCTGTGAAATTAAAAAATTAAGAGATGTCATACGGCCGTTAGCCACCAAGGAAGGAGACATCTAATTCTGCGTAGCACCTGATTGTTGAAATTGTATCAATGTCACTCTTCGAACAAGTTTTATCATTCAACGTCTTTAACCTTGGCATGCTTAAGCCTCCTCCAAAGAAAGTCTTCATCTTAAAGCATTTACACACAAATAAGCTTTCCAAAATTGGAAATTTTAAGGTGTAATTCCCAGAACAGAAACAAGTGAGACTTTCTAAATTCGACAAGCACAACTCCTTCAATTTCTCAAAAACAAATTCACTTTTCTCTACATCTCCCTCGTTTGCTAATACTTCTATCATCATTTCACATCCTTGAATTGACAAGTATTTTAATTGCACCATACTTTTGGCTATTGAAAATGACATTAAGTTTTGCATTCCATTGCACTTGGTCACCGTCAAAGTTGTTAGATTTTCAAAATATGTTGAAGATGGCAGCAAAGTCATCAAATTGTGACAATATTGCACCTCCAGACAATCAAGATTTTGAAGACTAGAGTTCAATTGGGAGTCTTGTTTCCAAATATACTTTAAATCTTTTAATTTTGAAAGTGCTCCAGCGTGTTCTTCATCCTCCATTCGAGTGTTTGCATATACATCCTTAAACAATTTGATACGAACCTAAAGAAAAATAATGTCAATCAAATTAAAATTAATACTTCCCTTAAAAACGTGTAATAATTTTATATATATTTAACAGGAACCAAGGAGAAAAATAAAATATAATAGAATATTTTAATGGTTGTTAGAAATAATTTTATAAATCAGTGTAATTTTTTTTTTATTTCTTAAAAAAATATAGATGGAGTTTGTTGTATCCTAGTAGTGATGTGAGATTGGCCACTAGTTCAACAATAATACTCAGCCTATACACCAACTAACTTTAAAAAATAAAAAATAAATATTTAAACTAATTTATTGAATACATATACCATTTTTTTGTGTGCTCCTTGTATGGTTGTATTAAGGTCATTTTCTATTTTCATTTCCCTCCCTCCAATTGTATCTTTCCACCTCTTATAAATGACTTCGTCTGACTTTGGTGTGCTTGAGATTCTCTGAAAGAAAGTCTTCATATCGGAGCAAATCCTTATAATTAACACTAAAAACATAATATTATTAAAAAATAAATATTTAAACTAATTAATCGAATACATATACCTTTTTTTTGTATGCTTCTCGTGTGATTGTATGAAGGTTATATTTAGCTGTCATTTCCTCCCAATCAAATATATTTTCCAAGCTGTCATAATTGACTTTGTGTAACTTTGGCGTACTTAAGATTCCTTGAGAGAAAGTCTTCATATTGGGGCAAATCCTTATAATTAACTCTTCTAAAGATGGGAAATTGAAAAAGTAATTTCCAGAGCAAAAGCAAGTGAGACTTTTTAAAGTTGTAAGTGACAACTTCTTCAAATTGTCAAAAACTATTTCAATACTCCTCGTTGCATCTCCCTCATTTTCTACTATTTCAATCAACATTTCACAATCTTTTATGCTCATTTCTCTCAATTGCACCAAGCTTCTAGCTGTTGAAGATGTTATTAACTTCATCAACCGATTGCACTTGTAAACTTCCATAACTTTAAGATTTTGGAAAGAAGTTAAGGATGGCCTTAGAGTGATTTGCATCTGTTTCTCATCCTTTCCACATGAGAATATTTCTTTGTATTCACAGCAAGATAGTTTAAGACCTTCTAGATTTTTAAATCTCTCAAGGAGTGCAAATGGAATATTTGCTGATTTATCAAAGTTGATATCAAGAGTTTTAGATCGATTCTGCCATTTCATCTCTGTCAATTTCAATTCCTCCAAATCAGAGTTGATCTACAAATCCATTGAAACATAATCAAATTAGCTTTTTATTTTCTTAAAACAAAATTTAATTGTTGGCTCATAATTCACAACCCAAACACAAATTAAATAGGCTTTTCTTTTTTCATTTTTAAATCTAATTCATTGTTTTTTATAATTCAACTACAATATATTTTAAAACTAATAACTTACATTTTATTATTATTTCAAATTTCAAATCAATATTAAAATTACTTATTGTTGGCTCATCCTAATGATAAGTTGGACTTTGGACAGGTTTTTTTTTTTTTTTTTTTTTTTTTTTTTTTTTTTTTTAAATTAAAATTTTAAATGTAGTTAAAACATGATTTTATAACCTATAAGATTAGATATGTCTTACCATAACATAACTCTACTGACAAATAGTATAAATTTATATTTGCAAAGAAATTAGCACATAATTGATTAACATTTACCCTAATATATTTTGTTTCAAATTTTTTGTTCTTGTCTGCTACCAAATCATGTTAAAATAATTTGTCAAATGGACATGATTGATATAGAGGTATAATATTACATTAGATAGTGTCTTACCATAAATTTAAATAAAATCACTACTTACAAAGAAATTGGTACATAATTGATTGAAATTTACCCAAATATAATTTGTTTAAAAAATGAACTGATATTTTATTTATTATTATTATTATTTATTTTTTTCTCTTTTCTGCTTCCAAATCATGTTAAAAGAATTTTGAATAAGTGATAACATTGAGCAAGTTTTCAAGTTGCAAATTTTTTGTGTATAATGTTTCTGTTGAGTTGAAGACATGAAACGGTGCTGTTTTGGCCATAAGTGGAGTGACGTCGTTTTGGGAGTTGCTGAATTAAATCTTGGCTGTTGATTAACTGCAGATCCAATGGCTGAAAATCCACAATCTGGTCAACACTATATAAAGGAACAAATTGGGAAAGAGCTGTAGCGTTTTTCTTCTTCGTGAATTGTAGAGCAATTGCTGAAGGGTTTCTTTTTCTCTTGTTACATTCAATCTGTGTAATCTTGGTGAGTGAGTGTTTGGTTTTTCATTCAAGTGAGAGGGGTTTTACTCTCAAGGAAATAGGGAATCTGATTGTGTTCTCTAGGTAGGATTACGGTAAAGATTGTGTTGTATTCTTGAGTGAGTGATCTTTGATTTGTGGTGTAAACTCTTGATTGTAATTGATTAGTGCAGCGAGCTCCTCTGATTCCGGAGCTCAACGTGGATGTAGCCTACCCAATCTTGGATAGGTGAACCACGGTAATTTCTGTGTGTATTGTTGTGGTTGTTTTTATCTTGATTGTGTGGTAAAGATTAGGAAGATTTACATAACAGTTTCCAATAATAGAAATAAAAATATTTTGGTGATTCATTTTAAACATTTTGATTATTTCTAGAATTACATTGGATGATCTATCTTTTCAAATGTAGCACTTTGATAAGTTAAATTGATAAGATCATGTAACAAAATTGTCAAAAATCAAATAACCATTAATTTTTTATTCTTAATTTTTCGAAATCTTCTTTCATGGAAAATTAAAAATTTACAAAGAATTCCATAATTCAAGTTATAAATTTATGTAATATATAAAGAAAGTTTATTTTCTTTTTCTTTTTTCAATAAACAAAGAAAAAAGAGATGCATACCTTATTGTCTAAGAAGAGAGATTTTGGCTCTGAAATATGAGTTTCACCCTCCTTATCGTTCTCTTGGAAGTCCAGATTGATTGAAGAAAACTTACCACAATTCATCACTATCAACTCTTTTAACATTGGTAATTTCAAAGTATGTATTCCAGGATAGAAAACTGTAAGTTGTGGTAGATCTTCAAGCTTGAAAATGGTTACATTCGGAAAGACAAAACTGACCACTGCATTTGCTCCTTCTTCTTTAGCAACAATCTCCTCTAAAACCTTACAATCCCTTATCTCTAGTTCTTGGAGCTGCCAGAGACTTTTGGCGATAAAAGACGGAAACACATATGTTATGTTTCTACAACTCATCAAGGTCAATTTTGTCAAGTTTTGACAAGAGGAAGTTGGAAGTTGGCTATCCCAAATCTTTCTACACTTAATATTTGTCAATGCCAAGACCTTTAAATCAGGGAAGATAACCTGTAGTGAGAATTAAATGTTATTATAATATTTTCTTATATCAAGTAATAAAATAAAAATAAAAATAAAAAGAATTAGTTCTTTTGGATTTCTAAATGACATGCCATAATGTTAAAATTTTGTATTTTGTCTAATAATTTTTATCATGGAATCTAACATGAATTGATGAAATCCATTTGATGAAATGACATACTATAAGATTGAAGATGAGTACTCAATAAAGAAATTTAACTAAAAGTTTAAATAAATAAAATCATAGACGCAAATAGAGAAGAACAAAAAATGCCAAACTATATGTTAACAAATGAAAATATATAATAAAGAGTATAAAGATAACGTAAACCAAACCTGCTCTTCAAAAAGTGGCCTCATTTCAGAATTATAAACACCATTCTCAACATTTAACGATTCAGTTAACCATAAGAATTCAACATTCTTGATTCTCCGTAAATCTTCTAAAGAGATGGTAGAATTAAATTTAAATTTCAACACCCGTGTGAACTCACGCTCCTGTGGGTCTAACAACGAATGTCCTATGGAGATTTCGTACCTTTTAAGGTCTCTGGAAAAGAAGCCTTGAGGCAAAACAACGTCATCTTTAATAACTAATGTTAAAGTGGTCACTTGAGCCAAGTGCTTGAACTCTTCAACTATTTCAACCTTCCACTGAATAGGACATCCCTTTATATACAATTCTTCCAGTCGTGATAATTTTGATATCACATTTGGTGCAATATATTTCAATTGCCAACAATACCTCAAATCTAAAATCCTTAACTGAGTCAATTGACCTATTTCTGTAGGCAACTCCTTAATATATGAATGTCGTAAGCTAAGAACTTTTAGTTTCTTTAGCTTTCCGATGATAACAACATATTCAATTTTGCTTTGATCTAAACACAATGTTTGAAGGTTTGTTAGAAGATCAAGTGACAACGGCAATTGCTGCATTTCAAATAAATTTAAAACCTTGAGCTTCGGCATCACTCTGAAGAAGTCTTCTGGGACTTGGAAAGAAGTGTTCCATATATTAGTCATACAAAAATATTCAAGATTTGGACAATCCAAATCTTCAGGCCAAAGCTGACTAATAATAGTACTACTAGGACGTAAGGAGATTTTTGTGCATTTCTTGAGTTTATCTTTGTCCTTCCATTCCTTTTCAACATCATTTCTCTCCGTAAATACATGGTAGTCTGTATATGCAATTGTTATAGCAACAGATCGAATTACATCATGCATAGCAAATTGTCCCGTTGTGAAACCATCCAATAACAAACATGAGTCTTTGAGCTCGCAAACCAATTTATCTAGTCTATCTCTTGCTTCTTCCATTTTCAGGTTAGCTCCTTGAAGTATATCCAGACCCACAACATGTCTGAACAAGTTTGAAATGGAAGTATTATTTTTCATGAGACTAGAAATTAGAAAAGTTTTCTTGAGCTCATCATTTCTTAAATAGTTGTAACTCAAGGCGATCTTCACGTATTCCTTCTCCAAAAATCCTATAAACTTTGTCGGTGAAGGCGCTTTTAATTCTTGCAGGGCAACTTTCCAAGCAGATGGACGACTCTTGTTCCTCAAGGCTTTTGCTATTGTGCAAATGACAATAGGCAAACCCCCACATTCCTTACATACATCTTTTGGTAAAGAATTCAATTCACATGCTTGAATAACGTAATCACCTACACAGGAAGCAATGATTATACTAATTGCATTTTCTCTCCACATGCTTTGGATTTAAAAACAAGAAAAGTTAAAAGTGTTGTGATTTTCCCTCTAGATATTATCTTATTGGACTCCTTTGTAAATAAAACTGCGAAAAAGTTTTTAAATATCTAAAGAAACTCCACTGGCATTGTTTTCTTATTTTTAAATTTCAGTCTAATCTAATCTATTTTACTCACTTAATGCCCTTAATCTGGCATTGTTTTCTATCAAGGATACAAGTGAAATTAAACTTTGAAGTTTGAAATTCTTTCATGTTATCCTTACTTTAATCTTTCATTTTTCACATCAAACCACAACAAATTAAAAAAAAAAAAAAAAAGAGAGATTTGAAATTTTGTGTATTAACTAATTAAAACGAATAAACCTTCTCCTACAAGGACAAGAACTACATGTAATATTTATGGACGTTATAAAAATTGGGAAAACCAAGAAGACAGCCAAGTGAAAATTCTTTAACACAATTACCTGCCATCTTCATGAACAGGTTCCAAGCTTCTTCTTCTTCCAATATACCCATCCCGAAATTACTTGTGGAGTCCATCTTCTGCAACACGTCTAAGTTTCTGGTTGTGAGCATTATTTTACATCCCCCACGATCAGTTTTAGAAGGAATACCAATAGTCTTGAGATCAAGATCTTCCCAAACATTGTCTAAAATTAAAAGGATCTTCTTGCCGTTCCTCAATCTTTCATATAACTTATTTGCTCTTTCACTTTGGTTGTTGAATTTTACTCCCAACTTATCTGCAATTTCTGTTTGAATCTTCTTTACATCCAGAGTTTCTGTTACCTATAAGAAAAGAAAAAATATTATGGAGAGCCTTATATACACTAACAGAGAAAAAAATTGTAAACTGATATCTAATCTGTTTTAAGGTATTCATATACAAAAAGTAAAGTAATAGCAAGCCTAAAGCCTTATATACGAAGGAAACCTCAATATATAAACTAAACTAAAATATATGATAGTACAAATAGAATAAGGAAAATAAGGATGCCTTCATTAATTTAAAAAAGAAGAAACAATGTTTTATTGAGTGCTTATTTCTCCTTAATTATTAAGGGAAACATGCATCCTTATATAGAAGAGTAAAGTCTAATTGATTTCACTCAAATAAAATTAATCATGTAAATTAAATATTAATGATTATCACTCTAAATAAATATCGTAATATAATAAAGTGAAACCCCTTAGTTTAAACATTACCTCAACAAAAACAATCTCATCAAAGAGCTTATCCTTCTCGGCTTTCCTACCGATTTCCTGCACAAGAGTGGTCTTTCCTAGACCACCCATCCCATAAACACCCATCATGTAGATTTCCTCATCATGTAAAGCATCCAATACATTCTTCACAGTGGAGTTTCTTGATTCGAATGCCAGATAATCTTCATTAGATCTAAGCCATATCTCCTTGTGAATAGTAGGATAGGAAACTTTATCGAATCTTTCTCCTTGCTGCAAGAGTGGACCAATATTATCCACCATTAATTCGGATGCTGCATTGCTATTTTGGTAGCGGGTCTTGCGGTCAGTGCCAATTGAACTTTGGTTTTCAATCAACTCCTCTGCTTCAACAATGATAGAGTCAACATCCTCTAGCCACTTCTTCACAGCCTCTTCAATCTCTTCCACATTGTTTTTAGCCTCCTTAACCTTATGCTGCACTTTGACTTTTGCATTCTTCAGCTTCAAAACATCATCCCGGAGCTTGTCAAAGTTCTTCTCTAGTGGAATAGTAGGATAGGAAACGCTGTCGAATTTCTCTTCTTGCAGCAGGAGTGGACCAATATCATCTCGCTTTAATTTGAATGCCTTCTTGCTATGTTTGTAGCCGGTGATGCAGTTGGGGCGCAATCCCTTGAAACATCGAGGGTTTTTTCCTTTCTCTTCAGCCAACCGCTCTGCTTCAGAAATGGTACTGTTCACCTCAGTCTGCCAATCCTTAACGCTCTGTTTGATCTCTTCCATTCTTATTCCAGCAGCAGTAACCTCAACCTGCACTGCCTCTCTTGTATTCTTCAGCTTCGTAACTTCCTTTTCGAGATTTTTGAAATTGGTATTGTAGTTGTACAAGTACTTAAATGGACGCCCGATCGGAGCTGCGAAGCACTTGACAACATCCAGAACAAAACTCCCGGCACCAGCGATAGCCCCAATAAGTTCTAAAACCATTTTAAAACTTTCTGTTTCTGCTTCACTTTTTCCTCAAGTTTGAAAAATAGAAAAAAAAAAAAAAAAAAAGTAATAATAAAACAGAGATATAACAGGTGCAAACTCAAATAACAGAAAAAGAGTAGGAGAAAATACTGAATTTTTTTTTTAAAAAGATCTTTTTTTTTTTTTTTGGTAAACCAAAAATAAGTAAATGGGAAAGGATTTTTTAAAAAAAAAATAATAATAAGAAATAAGGGAAGGGGAGAGGAGGGGAGTGAAAAATCAAGCGATCGGGTTTCAGAGTAAAACTAATTTTAGTGGTATCTGAAGAGGTGAGAGAGGTTTGTGAGTGAAAGTGGTTTTGAGTGATTTCTGAAAGATTGAGAGATAGAAGAGAACTGAAGAAGAAGAGAGATTCAAGGGAGGAAGAAAAGAAAAGACAACGAAAGTAGTTGATTTTAGCTTAGAACTGCTTTCCAGCTAGATGCAAACGCGTTTCATATAAAGTTTCCAATTAATTACCAACATCAATTATGACCAGAATAACGTGTTCAACTTTTTCTGTTTGTGGGACCTGATTGTTGAAACCAAAGCTAAAACACGCAATAAACAAAGCATAAAATTAACAGAACACAATTTACTTTGATTCATTTCTTTACAAGTAATTACATCCTAACATTCAAACCTTTGGGTATCAAATTATCATTTTCAAACCTTTTGGGTATCAAATGTCTTTATGGCAAACTATGGGTAGGTGCATGTCGTTCGGCCATCCAATAAACCTAACATTTAAACCCTATACTTCTTGCAGACCTAAATAGTATTAAGGGAGAATATCACAAATTACCCTTGAGGTTTTCAAATTTATCGTTTGATGACAACTTTCACACTTTTTTTAATCAACCAGACGCTCAATGTTTAAAAACTTTATCACATATCCCTATTTGCCGGTTGCCACTTCATTACATTTAGATTTACAAACACTTTCTTAAACTAAAGTTACCATTTTATCCCAACACTTTCCTATAAAACAAAAGTTACCATTTCAACTATCTATATCCTATCAAAGAAATACCGTAATGAACTTAGGACGAAGGGGCATTTATGATATAGTTTTCAAACTTTTAGAGTTCATTTTTATCTTAATTTTAAATTTTAAATTTTTATGGGGCATTTGGTTCAGAGAATATTGGATTATTGGAAAGATAGATTAGCTTGAAGATTATTAAGAATTTTTAGAAAAATGTGTTTAATTAATTGGTAGATATTTAATATAAATATATTTGATTAAGAAGAATAAATTAATGATTATGGGTGCGTTTGGCTTCTTGGTTTTATCCATATTCCCAATCCTATTCTTCAAATGTTGTTTGGCACGTTATTCCCAAAATATTAGTATATTTTTTAATTATTTTTAGACCCCATAAGTTTATTAATTTCATTAAATACCCCCCAGAAAAAAAGTTTGAAAATTAATAAAAACACCCCCACTACCAATACTTTCCAAATTCCGGTAACCACCGCCCTTGGTAGCCGGAATCTGTCATAGCAGTCACACAACCATCGGAAATAACTGGTAATGGCCAGATCTGACCTTTTTTGGCCAGATCTGACCTTTTTTGGCCAGATCTGACGGCCAAAGATAGCCTTTTTCGACCGTCGAATGCCACATTCGGCCTTAGATCTGACCTTTTTCGGTCAGATCCGTGATGGATATGACCGGAAAAGGCCATATCGGTTGAATACCTGTTAGATCCGACCGGTATGTGTGGTTATCCAATTTTTCGGTCAGATTTTTGTGGTGGTGACCGAAATTTGACACTGCGGGTCGTAGGAGTGTTTTTGTCATTTTATAATATTTTAATATATTTGAGTGTTTATTAAATTAGCAAACCTTGTGGGTTTTTTCATAAATTTTTAAATTTTATCTCGTAATATTCTCCTATTCAACTATCAAATACTATCCCTAAAATTTTACCTAAAATAATAAATCAAAACGCATCTTATATTATTTAAATTGTTGGATTGTTTTTTAATTAAATAATATTATTATATTATTTTTTTAAATCATTCAAAAGCACTTTCGCTCGCAGAGGTTTATGGGGAAAAGTGCTTTTGAATTATTTATGAAAGATTAAGAGAGAGAAGAGAACTGAAGAAGAAGAGAGATACAATTAACATCAATCAATTGATTTTAAGTTTACAGTGAATGATTGACTGCAGTGGAGACACACCATGTGAAAATCGATAAAAGTGACGTCTAAAGTGTGGGCGAACTATTTATACATACCCAAAATTTACTGTAATGACAAGTTGGTACTCAAAAGGTTTTGAAACGATAAATAGGTACCTTCCGTCATATTCCGTTAGTGATTTTTGTTTATTAATAGTGAAAAGACTAAAATGCCCTTCAAAGTTTCAATTTTTGTTTTTTATAAATTTAAAAATTTCTAAAAAACCCCCTAGGTTTGCTAATTTAATTAAACACCCCATATATAAAAAGTTTGTTAAATGACAAAAATACCCCCACCACCCCAATGCCAGATTCCGGCCACCATCCCCGGAATCTGGCCGGAAAACTGCATTACGACACAGATCCCCATCGGATATGTGTCGTAAAGTGCCGATGTGGCCTTTTCAGGCCAGATCCGCCACGGATCTGGCCGGAAAAGGCCAGATCTACTGCCAGATCTAGCCGTAGATCTGGCCTTTTCCGGCCAGATCAGCCACGGATCTGGCCGGAAAAGGCCAGATCGACGCGTTACGACACAGATCCGACGGGTCTGTGTCGTAACGCAACTTTCCGTCCAGATTCCGGCGGTGGTGGTCGAAATCTGGCACTTGCCGGTGGGGGGTGTTTTTGTTATTTTATAAAACTTTTATATATTGGGGTATTTAGTGAAATTTGTAAACTTAGGGGGTTTTTTGAAATTTTTAAATTTATAAAAAACTAAAATTCAAACTTTTAAGGGTATTTTAGTCTTTTCACTATTAATAAACAGTAATAAACAGAAATCACTAACAGAACATGACGAAAAGTACCTATTTGTCATTTCAAAACCTTTTAGGTACCAACTTGTTGTTACGATAAATTTTGGGTATGTATAAGTCGTTCTCCCTCTAAAGTGTTGAAGGGAGGAAGAAAAGAAGAAGAAACTAGAAAGCGCTTGAGTAGTTGAGTTTAGCTTTCCAGCTGGATCCGAACGCGTTTCATATAAAGTTTAAGTTTCCAAGGAAATATTATTATAATCTACCAAAACGTGTTTCATGGTCTGTAAAAGTTTGATTGTAGACTTCAAGGAAGAGAAGGAAAGATGAAGAAGGCATTTAAGTTTGAGCAATAATGTAAAGACAAAAATAAAGAGGAAAATAATTTATACCCTTTGTATTCATGATTTTTCTCTTTTTTTTTTTTTTCGTTTTTTTTGTTTATTTCTTTTTAGTAACTGTTCAAACACTTCAAAATGGGAAGGTACAAAAATCTTTCTTCAATTTTTCAGAGGAAGAATTTTTGAAATTACCCCTCACTTTTTGTAATGATTATTTATAGCACTTTTGTGAAAAATAATAAATAACCACTCTCCAATTGTAAGTTGTAACGTCATCTAATTCTTAATTTGTAAATTAAAATTTATATAAAATTATTATTTTGTTCTTACTTTCATTATATTTAATAAATATTTATTAGATTATATTTTATTGGAAAATTCAATAAAAAAAATTTGTTATTTTTAAAACTTGAAAAAGATTTTATTATTTAATCATTGAACTCTGGGAGAAATAATTATTGAATTAGCTGAGATGGGATACTGAACATGCAAAGGAAATTGAGAAAATGACCCAAAAGAATATCTTTTCCTTTTAGAAAATGACCCAAAAGAATATCTATCATACTGATGATGCATTAATCAACCTTGGATTTTTTTCCTGAAAAAACAATTATAATTCTAAAGGGATATCTTTTTTGGAAGTTTACATAATTAATTTTCGTCTGACCTTTTGCTAATAAAAATAAATAAAAGGAGAGTTCAGTCAATAAATTTGTTTATTCTTTTTCTCTGAAAAATCAATCTGTGCTGAGCTCGATTTCACAAGAATCACAACGGTTTAATGGTTCTAGTATGAGCTAATTTATTTTCTTTAATCCACCCTCAAATACGGACAGTCGACCACCATCGCCGGAGGGTGGTCGGAGTCACCGTAATAAAAACATTAAAAATATTTAGGGGTATTTAATTGAATTAACAAATTTAGAGGGTTTAAAAAATGTTGAATAAATTTGAATAATATTGTGAGTTTTTTGGTATTTTACTGTTTAACTTTTTTGAAAATACTAAAAGTAGTATTCTCAAAATCCAACCAAATGAAGCCATAGTAGCTGAAGTTAACATCAGCCTTGTTAAGTATTTATCAAACAAAAAAACTAATTAAGTTGACATGCATTACTGCTATTTTTAATATATTTTTTAGGACTAATAATAATTAAAAGGGTAATTGAGGAAAGAGGAACATGGGGTGGGCATAGTGAAAAGGAACATTAAGGTCAAACACGCTGATGAGTGTATGAAAGCAGTATGTGAAATGAAGAATGTGATTGTGTCGGATTTCTTAATTGCGGCCGTTAATCATCTTCATTTGTTGTTGCCACAAATTATAATCAATTTGTTACTTTGGACCAGTGATTAGAAACCCAACTCGTGCAGTAACCTGGACAAGCCACCCGGCCTGAACGATTTAACTGATTTGATTCGCGGGTCAAATCAGTATCCAAAAGTTTGAAATCTAATAAAAAAAAAAAATTCTACCAAAATTATTTTAAGTCTCTAAAGGTTTGAAATCTGTTAAATACACTTTAAATACCACCGTCAACATCGACAAATAAAGCATGTTTCCAACGATGACAAAATTTTGCATCACCACGAAAACACTCTCTTTAGCATTTTGACCAAAACCCATCTCACCCCTTCCTCATTCACCTCCCCAATCGTCGACGACAGTAGGCTTTTTCTGGCGACATT